TTTAAGTAGCTGTTGCCTGAACTGCTACACAAACCTGGTTTTGGTGCTCTCTCTCTCATCACTCCTATTTTCTCCTTCACCTGTTTGTCTTTCATCTATCGCGTTAACAGTGCAGGCTAATTTAAAAAATCAGTCCTCAATTTTGTGAGATTTTTTTCCAAATCAGCAACTTGAAGGCCTATTTCACTCCTAATAAGCTCAGTTATTACTTAATCCTATGCTTCTGTCACTAGCTCCAATTTCTTTCTCAGTTTCTAGGTCTCCTTTCTCAAATCCTGCTTGGGCATTTCTAGAATTACACGTGCCAGTTTTATTCAAACTCCTGCCTGTAGCAGAACTCAACTTTCTCCGAGAGCTGGTGACTTTTTTCATAAATGTTATCCGCCCTCCTAGGCCCCTAGGTTTGAACCATCAAATTCAGCTTTTGTTTCCTTTGCCCGTCTGTCTAAGACCTGTGGGTTCTATACTGTAAGTCTTTTGAACAGTTCCTTTTTAACGTTTTTCTTAACAATACTTTTGTTCAGATCTTGCCATTGCAACTTCAGACACTTTATTAAGTTCCTAAATTATATCCCTACTTATCCTTTGCTCATTTTACAAGCATTTATCCAAGCTTGAAAAAGTTCTTGCTTTTTCTCAAATACTGTTTTTTTATGTTACTCCTTTACTTACTAACTTCAGGTTAGGCTTCAACGTTGAACAGAACAAGAATCTCACTGCCACTTGTTCCTCAGAGCATATTTTCTTTTTGTGTCTAAATGGGATTTTTTTTTCTATTTTTCTATTAAAATTTAATATATTCCTTCTAAATTATATATAGGATATAACATCATTTTTTTCAGATTGCGAACTTGGACTATAAGATGCTAAAACGAGTTGCTGAGAAATAATAATTACGGCACCAAAAGAGCTCTAAGCTAATGGTTCTTAGTACATGTGTTGCTAGATTCACAAAGTGATAGGACTTCCTAAGATTAAATCTTTAAACTTAATTTATTCACTCCATTTAGATTTTTAAATTAATCAAGACCATTTAGATTCTGTGACTATCTGAAAGTAATGATTTGGGGGTAATCCCTTTATGCTTGGGGTGCCAAGGCATTTCTACAAAGGAATTATTACTGTCAAATGCATTTTGCTAGGTCAAACATTCATCATGGCAAATAAATACAGTTTTGGTAGAACATAATATATCCATACCCTTAGAAAAGTATTCCTTGAGGACCAGGAAGATACTACATTAGTCACACTAATTCCCAACTTTGCACTTTAAGTTCCATACAACTTTTAACAGCTAGACAGAAATAGGAAGACACTCTGGAACCTGTGATATTAGATATGAAGAATTAGCTAATTTAAGACAGACTTTGGAAGATAATTTTCTGGTATACACTATAGATGGTTTTATAGAGGCATGCAAAAACACTGCTCTGATTCCATATTCACTTGCTTGTGGTTAACATTAGGATAGGCAAAGATGTTGATAAAGGATAAGGGTTCTACCATGTGGTTTGCTCTTTAGATGAGAGCAGACATATAAATTCTAATTTAATATTAAGTCTTTCCAGTGCAGCCTGAAACTATATTTGGCTTAAAATGTATTCACTTTATTATTTTTTCTTTCCTTTCTCATTCTACAGGATTTCAGTTTAACTTCCACAATTCTTTCTGGTGAGTGAGACTTATCACATATCACAGTCTCAAACATAATTTGTATTTTCTAAAAAAGTGATCTCAGTGCTTATGATTCTAGGACCCAAAAGAAAGTCACAGATAAATAAATATTCCTAACTTACAAAACTATCACTAGGTTTCTAATGCTTACTGCTACTTCAGACTTCCTAATTATAACAGCGAACAATAAAGAAACTCTTGTAATGAAGGTTGATTTCTATTAGCTATACTTTGGAATCACTTACTAACCCCTAGTCTGAAATGACTCTTCTTCATTAACATTATCTACCAAATGAGATACATATACTTGGATTTCTTTTTTCTCTAAAGTGTTCCAGTGAATAACAACCCTAAATTGAAACCAGACTATCATTTTATCATCCAAAATAAGAAGTAGAAACAGGAAGCAAAGACCCTGATACATATAAATTAGGTCATCAAAAGACATTCACTGGCCTTAAACTGCTTCCAAACTTTACAAGATAACAGAAGTTTTTAATTTTATTTTCAACATAGAGGACCACAGGCCAATTTAAAACAGCAATCTTTTTCCAGATGGCCTATCAAATTCCTTTATTTATAAGACAGAAGCTAAGGAGGGGAGAATCATGACATGGTTTCCATCCAGAAGCCTGTGTAAGCCAGAAGGCAATTTTTGTCTGCTCAGATACACCTAATTTTTTTACAAGATAAAACAGATTTCTTCTTAGACCATGTTAAAACAATTGAATGATACTGTTTCATATGCATTGACTTCCATTGCCAAATCTATTTCTTCATTTTATAGGATATTTTTATTTTACAGTATACTTATGTATTATATTTATATTTTATTTTACAATATATTTAACAGAACAAAAGCATATTACATTTGCTTACTAGTGTGTGTGTGTGTATTTTTTAAAGCATCACACTGTGTGAATGAAAAAGATTTCAAACATTGTAAACACATATGGTGGAAAGTTTAAGAGCCTGATGACCAAGCAGACATTAGTTGAATACAGGCTCTGTGTCACTTCACTAGCTGGATGAACTTAGGTTTTCAACTTACTGAGTCTGGATCACTTTATATGTAAAATAAGGATAATAATAGTACATATATTGATAGGCTGTTTTGAATATGAAAGATAATATAAATTGCTTAGTAAATGTAACATAAACGATAGTTAATAACAAATCTTTTGCTGGCCAAAAGGTAAAATTAGTAAATTAAAGAACTAAGCTTGATCCCTAACACACAAGTGTTAGTTGCTGTCATCACCACTGACATCATCATTAATAGTAAAGGGGAATTGACAGATTCTGAAGGAAATGAGGAGCCTCTTCAATTGCTACAGGAGCTATAGACACTAAGAAGTCAAGCTGATAAGAAAAAAAGACAGTCATGGATTGTACAGGCATTATTATTACCTTTGACTTTTCCATTGACATTGGAGATGGAATTAAATATTAAGAAGGGCTTGATAAATGACTCATGAAGAGACAGCTCACTTAAAATAAGCAGCAATTTAAGGAAGAGTTTTATTTGCGTTTGGATGTCTTCTGATTTCTGCTTTGCCTTGCAGCCAACAAATAAAGAGCCTGGCAAGCAGCAGGAGAGAGCCAGCCCCAGGAAAGAGACAGGCTACAGGCAAAAAAGACAGCGTATGGCAATTGGAAATTTTATCCTAAGGTTGGAAATAATGTTACACACAAACACACACACTCACATACAGACACACTCAATATATGTTATCAATAAACAGTATTCCCAAAGAAAATCAGGAAGTCCTGAGAAGTTTTACAAATTATTCTTTGAGCATCTTTGAGCACTGTAACCCTAACCTTTTGAGGAAATCCAGTTCTGATGCCATGTTACGTAAAGTGCTAGGGCTCTTTCTGATTGCTCATACTGAAATATATAACATCCTAAGTAGAACAGATTTTTTTTTTTTTGAGACATAGTTTCAGTCCGTCAACCAGCTTGGAGTGCTGTGGTGCAATCACGGCTCACAGCAACCTGTCTTCTGGGTTCACGCGATTCTTGTGCCTCAGCCTCCCAAGTAGCTGGAAATACAGATACGCACCACCACACCCACCTATTTTTTCTATTTTTAGTAGAGACGGGGTTTTGCCATGTTTGCCAGTCTGGTCTCCAACTCCTGACCTCAACTGATCTGCTTGCCTTGGCCTCCCAAAGTGCTGCGTTTATAGGTAAACTGTATTATTTAGGGAACGATGGCAAGAAAAATAAGTCTGTACCCAATCAGTACAGATGCAACTTTTTCCTGAATATTTTCAATCTGAGGTTGTTTGAATCCATGGATTGCAGAACCCTTGGAGACAAGGGCTGACTGTACTTCTGCTTTTTTTTTGAGACAGGATCTTGCTCTGTTACTCAGGCTGGAGTGTAGCGGTATGACCACGGCTCACTGTAGTCTCACCCTCCCGGGCTCAAGGAATCCTCACACTTTACTTTTTGAGTAGCTAAGATCACAAGCATGCATCACCACACATGGCTCATTTTTTGTAGAGATGAGTTCTCCCTATGTTTCCCAGGCTGATCTCCAAATCCTGGGCTCAATCTCCTGACTCAGCCTATCAAAGTGCTAGGAGCCACTGTATCTGGCCCCAACTGTACTTAAATGCAGTAAAGTTTGCTCTTATACTTTCCTTCTCTAAGTATATTTTTGTTAGTTTCGATTCATTTTTAGGTGCTTCTGTAAGGCTCAAGGTAATTTTCCCCTCCATCTTTAACCTCATAGATCTGTGCCCCTTGTAGAAAAAGCATACTCTTTGAGGGTAATTAAACACCAAATAATATCTTGAAAAACATCAAAAACTCTTCATAGTTTATTCATTACCAATTACTACAGAAAGAAGAAATACTGGGATTGACATAAATACCAATATATAAATGCCTTTTTTCATAAACATCAAAATTTAAATATTTGACATGAATAACCCCATTAGAGGACATTTTAAAATTGCCTGGTAAAAGAAAAAATAATTGTACAGTAAGTGGTAATACTTGTTAGAAAACAAAGGATTACATTTGTATGAAAAAGCCAAAAGAAGTCACTTAGGGATATGAGTGACTAAAAGTCTATTAAAAGAGTTCACTACTTTAACAATGTTTTCAAAGTAATGAGAAAATTATCATATTTGTTTCTTATACTTTTAAAAAGTAAATAGAAAATAAATCATATCTTTCATTCTCAATTGTATACTATGTTTTAAACATAATCTAAATCTTAGAAATTTATTCTTAGGTTTAGCAATGAGACTCCAAGTAATTAGCAGGCAAATAGCATTAGCCCAAAGGCACAAAGGCTCAAGCCTCTTACCATCAAATCCATCTTCTTCTGACCCTAGTTCATCATCTGAGCAGATGTTGAGGACATTTACCAGCATCTCAGTCACTAAAGACAGAAAGCAAAGGGAAAAGTCAAGCTTTTCTGTTATAACCTCAACTATCACAATGGGATTGTTAATGAGCAAACTGAACAATAGGATTTCTTATTTAGTTTGTATATAGAAGCAGTTCCAGTGAAAATCCAGATCATCAAAGACAACTGCCTTTGCAATTCTATGCAGATTTTATTAAACTATTAGCTCATGACTATGATACCTAATGATAATGTTTACCAGCTCTAGGTCAATAGACATTGACAAATCAAATATGTGGATGTGCATATACTAGAAATCGATAAAAGAGAAAATATATTTTTTTGAATTTTTATTATTTGCACAATGATAAGGCTTAATCAAGATCAAATTATAAACTTCTATTCAGTTGGGATGAAGAATGATGATTTTATTTTTTTATATTTTTAATCACCTAGAGAACGTCACACCATTACAGGTATGTTATAGGGTCTAGCCCTACTGGGTCTAGAAGGCATTCTCCATGGGTGTGAAGATGAGAGACTATAGAATTAAAGACACAGTACACCGAGATAAAGAGAAAAATAGTTGGGCCCAGGGGTCCACGACCACCTAGTACGCAGAGTCCAACAGTGGCCCCGAGTGCCTGGACACTCTGACTTTTATTGGGTACAAAGCAGTGGGTAGGGAAAGCAGGGTGAGTTCAAGCAAATCACGTGTCTAAGGAACAAAGGGGCTGAGGCTTGCAAGCAGTGGAACAAGGGGCCCAGGGCTTGCAAGTAGCCGAAGCAGGGGGCAGCAAGATGCGTTAGTACTTTATATTATGCTTCCCAAGTAACAACAAAAGCTTCAAGAATTATGCTACTTCTTACTACCTTCAAAAGAGGAACTAGGTGCAGAAGTTGGAGTGAAAGCAGATACAGACTGTGGCCAATATAGCACAGCACCACATAGAGACAATTAAGCCACCAGGTAGCTGCGGGTTGGGCTGACTGATAACAGTCCTTCCACAAGAGCACTGGGGACTGGAGTGTTCTCCAGCATGCCCAAAGACAGGATATGTTCCCTTCCAAGGTCTGCTGAGTAGCAGGTGCTTCTCCAAGCACTGGCACTACCACAGAGATTTTAGATGCCCTCCAGAAACCCTTATGCGGGTGTGACAGAGGGCTTAGTTTCAGCATTTAACAGGTTATCTCTGCTGATCTCCACCAGTCGATGTTCAACAGGTATTAATGCTCTTGCCTGGTGGCCACATCCCATAGGGTCCCTTATCAGTCCCTAACCACAGCAACCTGAAGTTCCTACATAATTATGCATAAAGTACACAAAGACTTTAATCAAGGCTTAATACTCTAAGACTAATATCAAATCACTCATGATACTTATTCCCAGCTAGATTCTTCTTTCTATATTCTATTTATTAGACAGGAACTGGCTGGGGCTTCAGTCTCCTGCTTTGGCACTTAATGAGACTTTCCTTCCACAGCATGTGCTTTTGTGTTTAATACAAACTGTTGATTGATAAACCAATATATTTGAAGTATTTTTCAGAATACTAATTTTAAAAATATTTTTACAAATATCATTAAATTTGATCTTCAAAAATGCTTAAGAAATTAAACAGCTGCAGTTTAATCAGAAATTTACTTAATTGATTACAATAGGATTATATAAAAGTGCTGTACAGGCCGGGTGCAGTGGCTCAAGCCTGTAATCCCAGCACTTTGGGAGGCCGAGGTGGGCGGATCACGAGGTCAAGAAATCGAGACCATCCTGGCCAACATGGTGAAACCTTGTCTTTACTAAAAATACAAAAAAAAAAAAATTAGCTGGGCATGGTGGCACACGCCTGTACCACCTACCCGGGAGGTAGTCCCAGCTACCCGGGAGGCTGAGGCAGGAGAATTGCTTAAACCTGGGAGGTGGAGGTTGCAGTGAGCGAGATTGCGTCACTGTACTCCAGCCTGGCGCCTGGCGACAGAGTAAGACTCTGTCTCAAACAAACAAACAAACAAACAAACAAAAAACCCCCTGCTGTACAGAGGAAATTAGTACTGCATTATTTTTATACTACAAAGCATGCTATTTACATTTAACATTTTTTGAAATCAGACTGGGTTCTACCCCATGCAGGTGAAAAGAAGCCTGTCTATTTCTTCTTCAAGAGCTATTTTTTAAAGTAATATGCTATTTTAAAAAATGTCCTCCTAGAGTTGAAGATGTATGATAGAGAGTGAAACTTAAGTGGCGCCAACACTGATCCAGAGTTTCAGTTTAATTATCAAAACTGGATTTTGTGTACCAGTAGATTAATACGCTAATTTCTAATAAATGCCCCGAATTTTAATAATTAATAGAAACAACCCAAATAAAGGGTGTTCAAAAGTGCCCCATAGTTGTCAGAATTCACACCGTTTCCGTTTGCATCCAACAGATGACACTATTCCGGTTTGATCAGTGCAAGAAAGTTGCAATACGGAGTAGTCCTGGGAATGTTTATTGGAGATTATAAAAAATTTACTTCTGATTATTTTGATATCCAAAGGGAAGAATTCTTAGCTGACAATTCATAGCTTGACTGGTTTAATCATTTTAAGGCATTTAAAGGAGAAACAATTACTATAGGGTTTCAGAAAAATGTTTAGCTTTTCTCTGAAACTCCTCATAGGACATCATTACTCTGAAACTTAGGGGAACACTTATCTTTCTGACAATGCCCATTCACCTTCTCATGCAAAGGATGAAAAGATGCATGGGAGTCAATCTGTGAATTATTGTTAGGCATCCAGAATGAAAAACAATTGGTGCAGGCATTTCCTCAACATTTTTGTTGAGGTTTAGGTCAACATATAAAAGCAAAAGGAAGGGGGCAGAAGGAAGGGAGGAAGAAAGTTAATAAGCAACTTTTTAAATGTAAATTTGTCTCCTGTACTGTACCTTATAATGCACTAATGCCTACTACATTTTTGATGAACTACTTTGTTGTTGTTGTAAATGTTGCTCTTCATACTATTGTAGCCATTAAGCACTGTCGTACAATAATTTATTAACATCAGAAATGTAAGGAAAGCATGGCTATCCTAATCTTTTAATTTGGCAGATAATTTGTAAAATGAAATAGTTCTTTGGGATTATAGTACAAAGGGGTAAGGAAAAAGGGTAGACATTACCTGAAACCAGGTAAAGCTGTATTTCCATTATTTTTTAAAGAGGTGTATTATTCTAATAAGATGGTATAAATTTACTACATAGTTCTACTGTTTTTTTTTTTTTTTTTTTTTCCCTTTTTTTTTTTTTTTTTTTTTTTTTTTTTTTTTTTTTTTTTCTCTTTTTTTTTTTTTTTTTTTTTTTTTTTGGGACGGAGTTTCGCTCTTGTTACCCAGGCTGGAGTGCAATGGCGCGATCTCGGCTCACCGCAACCTCCGCCTCCTGGGTTCAGGCAATTCTCCTGCCTCAGCCTCCTGAGTAGCTGGGATTACAGGCACGCGCCACCATGCCCAGCTAATTTTTTGTATTTTTAGTAGAGACGGGGTTTCACCGTGTTGACCAGGATGGTCTCGATCTCTTGACCTTGTGGTCCACCCGCCTCGGCCTCCCAACGTGCTGGGATTACAGGCTTGAGCCACCGCACCCGGCACACTTGCACTTCTAAATAACATCTTTCATTGTACAACTTATGAATTTTATTGGCTGGGCCAAAGTTCTTCTCTTTCTAAATGTTTAATCTCCTTTCTTTCCTTCCTATACTATTTTAATAAGAACGTTTCAGGATTCTACAACATACCTTTTTCCCCAACAAATGGCAGGGACCAAGTAAAAACATCCATGAAATTTGGAAGCCAATATGGATGAGGAGAACAGTTGAATTGCCTGATATTCATAACGTTGTTCTCATACTTCAATACTGCAGCTAAAAAAAAAACCAAAAAAGGATGTTAGATACGCAGAACATATTTCTGCTTCTATATATGGCTTTAGCTCATCAAGAAAATTCAGCTAATCGACTGAAGTTCCAAAACATCCAGGCTCATACCTGAGGCATCTCAGAATGCTTACACAACTTAAAGACTTAAGCCTTACTCAGTGTAACCTATAACCACACAATATATGAATACTTATATGGAATTATATAACAAATTGAAAAATATTTATACAAAGTAGTTAATCCAGTCTGCTGGAACTGTATCAAGGAATTGTATCTAGTTTCCCTTTCAGCTAAGAATACTTCAGTCTTAAAGTCTGATATCTAATGACACTAATAAAAGTGGCACAGCTAAGTTTGACACAATAATCTCCTCAAATAGTTTAATTAAATTTATTTTTAAAAAATAAAACTTCTTCCAGTAGAACTCCCAATAGTTGTACAAAATAGTTTAAGTTAGATTGGTTTATTTTTAATGTTTATTTTATTTTTTAAAATTAACATAATAATTGTATATACTCATGGGGTACATAGTGATGTTTTGATACATATAATGCATAGTAATCAGATCAGGGTAATTACCTATATATTAAATACAATCTCAGACATTTGTCATTTCTTTGTGTTTGGAACATTCAATATTCTCCTTCTAGCTATTTGAAATTATAATCTATTATTGTTAACTATAGTTGCCCTATGGTAGATTGCTTTCTTGACTTAATAAAATAAAATGTTTGGATTGAATCCCACATAAAATAATGTGCTTCCATCTGACTCTATCCTTGATTTCTGAGAAAACAAATCTGCATGCTTCATGTCTCTGTGAGTACTTTCAATAAAGGAAAAGTCACCTGTTTTAATGGGGTCACCTATTCTATGAATAGATAATTTTAAGTTGCAGGAAATTTTCAGGTTGAGTTTAAACCTGCCTTTACCAGTCACTGACCATGATTTCGCTATGAGTATCATATTTAATATTTAAAAGGCTGTCATTCTGCTTCTGAATGACAGCCTTTTAAATATTAAATATGATAAGCATACCTTCTTGGGCTTTGGCAAGGTTTCATTTTTCTTATGTATTCAGGGGATGATTAGTATTACATTAGAAGACAGTAACAAACAGATTATACATGATATCAAATGATCTTTTCTTGTTTATATTAAGGGGTTGAAAATACAGAAAAACTAATCACTTTTTTACTTTTTTTGCTTTTACTCAGAAAATATGCTCAGCAGTTGGAGAAACATCTTGGTATTTGCCTTACAATCTTTCTCAAGCAAATTATTTTGATTCTCTTTCACCCTCTTTAATATGACATGGCTTCTTGATGCTTTAGCTCAGCATGTTTGGCCTATTCTGAATGCATGCCAGATTGGCAATGTCTCTGTTAAAATGTGGCCCAGAACTGATATAATCCTCTAGGTCGGTTTGAACAGTGCAGAGTATGGGGAGAATATATCGTTTTTTGTGGTGTGGATACTATATATATACCATATTGTAGCCTAACAACATGTTGATGTTTTTAGCAGCCTGTATTTAACTAAATTCGGACTTGTGAATGGTAAGGCCTTTACTTTGAGTTGTTATTTCCGGCTGACCAACATGGTTCCAGGGAACATATAATCACAGACACCCCGGGGACAAGAAATGTAGATAGTGTAGGCAATACTGATACGAAGAAGAGGATGACTACATCCTCTTCTTCCCGTGGAATACTAAAACTCCTGCATATATTTCTGTAAACCCATTCCCTTTTACATTGTTTTATCATTTATGCAATAAGGATACATTTACATGATATTAAAAACAAGCAAAATAAAAAAATCAAGGCAAGCTACCACATCAATACTTTTGATCTTCAGTATGAGAAAGGTCAAGTATTTCCCATCTTTGCTAAGTGCTTCCAGAGCTCTAGCTCCTGTAAAAGGTTTTTACTATTTTGCAACACTGAATATTCACAGCAGAAATGCATCCTCATATCTTCAGATGAATCTTTAAGGCTCTAAATTGTCTTTTTGAAGAGTAATTTCTCCTCTAAATTTCCTCACTTTTTATTAACCTTAGGCTGGTGATGTAGCAGAAGGAAGGAAAGTAAATATTGTAATTAACAGTGCCCTGGAGAAAAGAGAGAGGCTTTATATAACAATCTGCACAACAAATCTCAGAAGCAGGTGTGACTGCCCTTATGTTACAAAGGAGTTGTGGTTGAGAAATGGAGAAACTTGCTCAAGATCACGCAACCAGTAACTGGCGGATCTCACTCATTATTTAAACTCAGGTTTTTCTGACACCAAATTCATTCCCTTTCCATCATTCCCTGCTGTCTCTCATAAATTATAAATGTATGAATTCTAGTTCTAGCTGTTATAATAATTTAACTATGAACATGGATTTCATAATTAAAGAGGTTTTAGCTTTTGCCAAAATACATGTTTGAGTGAAACAGTATGCAATTCACAAGCAAGGGTAAGGCTCATTCAACAGATAAAACAGAAGTTCAGTTTTGTAGCTAGTGAGATAAAAGTATTTATTCATTTGACCTTGGCTCGACACAATTTACTTGAGTACCTACTAATAAAGCAAACTGTTTTCAGATTTTATTTTCATTTATTTACTGAGTATCTGATATACGCAAGGCATTATGTATGGCCCTTTACAAACATAATTACAAATCTTCACAATATTCCTCAAAAGTGGTTCTTATCATTTACATTTGGAAAATAAGCGAACAGAGAGGTTATCTACACACAGTCACTTAGGAAGAAGCAAATCTCACTTTTGGCCTGAGTCTAAAGTCCCTGATCCTTCTAGTACAACATAATATACTCATCCTAATAGTATAAATCATTCAGTGTCTATCAAGTTTTGGACACAAATTCTTTCTCCTTCCATGTTTAATCTCTTTAAAGAAGAGCACAGGACTGGAAAGCTAGGAAGCCAGACTGCAAGATGGATTCTGTCACTAATTATTCCCCAGACTAAGGTACATAATGTCTTTAAGTTAGGTCTCAGTTATCTAACTATGTGGGTTTACAGATAATTTATAAAATCTCTTCCTGATCTGAATGATGTTAACAAACTTCATTGCTAACAATGAAAGAGCTCATCACTAATGCAATGAATAATATTCTCAGTAATTCTACAGGCTATAAATATAATTTTTTCTTATTTTTTTTTCTAGGTCAAAAAAAATCCTAAAATTGAAAAATTTTAGGATTGTTTTTGACCTAGAAAAAAAATAAGAAATTACACCAATATGTGTCCCTTTTTCTTTAGCAACATATTTATGCAAAAATGCTTTTTGAATAACCTTACATTAGTAAGTTACTCAAAATTCTGATATTTTTGTAAAATAAATATATAACACAGAAATAGAAGTTAATAAAAAAAAAAAAAACAGAAAAATACATGAGAGAAAAAAAAAAAAAAAACTAAAACAGTCCAAAATATCTGCAGTCACGAAATTCACAGTTAACGTTTCATCTTCCACCTCCCACATCCTCCACCCCTGCCACCTGCCTCCGACTGTCATTGGAATTACAAAACTCAACTGGAGCCCTAACAGCGTGCTCTTCTCTGAAGTACTTGAAAGACGTTTATCTCCAGTACAGTATAAATAATACAAATAGTTGTACTTCAAGAATCACTCAAGACCACCTCCTGAGACCTTGTCTGAAAAAAAAAGAACAAAAGTCTACCACCAAGGAGCTCCTTTATTCTACTGACAATTCCACATGACCTCTTGTCACTTAACAATTGTAACAGAGAGACTGTGACATACATGCAGGCTTTACATTATTAACCATCATTCAGAGCACACCAGACACTACAGAAATAAATGCTCTTCTCTTGTACCTGCAGGTATGAAGAACAGCTGGAAGGAAATTTGGTATAATGAAAAGAATACTAAATCCACAAATCTGGAAGCCTGACTGCCAGCTCTTTTTCTGATGTCAAAATTACCGTCTTAAAGTTACGCAATCCAATCATTTTTAAAGTACCTATAGAACCCTGTGTTCAAAGGCATGCTGTAAAAAGATGTAAAGTTAGTAATCAAGGGCCTGCTCCTATTTGGTGAATGGGGAAGGGGGACTGGACTTCGATTATTTCCAATAACACAACTGGTCCCCTGTACATAGTGAAATCCAAGGAATAGCATCTTTATCTTAATCCACTGCTCTCTTTACCAAGCCATGCACTAAGTTGCCTGACCATACCCAAATCTGTAAAACAAGGAGTCTTTCTATCTTTAATTTGAAATTTGGATGAGACTAAAACAACAACAACAACAAGTATTTCATAAAAACTTGAAAACATTTCCAACGTGCTCTCTACAATTTTCTTCAACCAAGGAAAACTGGAGACAAAGCAATGAATCACAAGAATAGAAAGACCAAAAGAAACCTTCTAATAAAAGACCAGCTATCAAAATATGGCAAACGAGTGGTATTAACTAGTCCACCAAACCATACATGGGCTCAGCACTTTTCAAGTGGGTGTCCAGAGGAATACGGAGTTCTTTTTCTGAAAAACCTGTAACTGTAACGCTTCCAACGTACCTCGGCATTCTTCACACCACTTGTCCTGATTTTAAGACAGGGGAGAAGGGGTCAAAAGAATGGAATATGACTTGAATTTTATTCCTGTTCTCCCCCTTTTGCTAATATCTTTCTCTCCTTATCTCTAATTGACCATCCTCCTCCACTTTCAGAAGATGGAAAAGAGAGAGAGAAAAGAAAAGAAGATGGGAAGGAATCAAATGGGGGCATACCAGAATCATAATCCATCCAGAAATAGCAAAAACACAAAGAAATTGCATAATAGACCCAGGATGTTTTTTCCTTCCAATTCTTCCACCCGCAGATGCCCTAGCAGAAAAACTAGCATCAGTGTGTTCTTTTGGCAAAGTCCTACCATCACGAAAGGAGGCATAATGCCTTGGTGGATACAATTCCTGAAGTAGGACCCATAATGTTCTATGGCGGCA